AAGTGAAAGAGGGCATTTAAAAGAGCTGTGAGACTGAGTAGACCAGGGGAGGCAAATCCAAATCTGGTATTAAGAGGTCTGCAGCTTTTGTCTTCCTGTTGTTCCAGCTTCTTAGATGAGCAATTGGAGTATTTCCATGGCCGGATATAAAAAGCATGTTAGTCACTGGGAAGTGCAGGAGCCCTTCAGAGAGGCCATGAGGCAGATTACTCTGTCCTGCACGGAGCTGCAGGCAGAGCAGTGATCTTTTGCTGCCATCCAGCTGTTTGCTTCCTGGTGAAAATAAGTTCATGTCCTACAGTAAAATAGTCCATGTTTTTCTCTGACTTGTGGTTTTAATTTTTTCCTGCTTTAGTATTTTGAGAAACTGGTCACATTACTGACTTTGTTTCCTTCCTTTTTTTTCTTTAACTGAAAGGAGGTTTGGTTTACTTTTGCTGGGGGAAATGCAGAATGTTGACACATAAAAGCTTTAGGGCTCTAAAGAAAATCTTAACGAAGCTACTGCCTCAGTAGAGTATGCTAAGGACATTTTTTTTCTCATAAATAGGAAGAAGAGATGAGTCACTGTATTACAAACTTGACAATCACAGAATTCTCCTCCTTCTGTATTGTTGAGGTCTTTAATGTGTGATACTCTGTTCCTATCTAGTGGCTGTTCAAATTGTAGAAAGTGTTAATGAACACTGATATTCTCTTGTGTACATGTGGTTGTTTTCCCAAACATGCTTTGCTTCTAGCATCTTTGCTGAAGAACAGTTTTGTTATCCTGCTGGGAAGAGGGCTCAGCATTAATAGATTATCAGTTATATCAATAAGTATTAAAAAAGGATAGGGATTAAAAAACCCAGTATCTTTTCAAAAATGCTATGTTAGCTTTTAGTGGTCTTCATTAAAAAATCAAGACTTGTCCTTAAATAGTAATTTATATTGTATTTATGTAAGCACTGTAGCCTTGAGAGCTTTCCAGAGTTTGTTTACATGAATCCTTGAAAATTTTACCTTTCTGTAATGCTCTCTTCTCCAAGAGCTAATTGCATTAGAGAAAGTGAGTTTCTGTAAAAGGAATAGGATAGTAACACTGTGAAATATGGATGGGTGGTATACTGTTTATGAAATGTCCTGAACTGGGAACTGGACATACAAAGTGTTATGCTTAGAAGTTTTCTAGTTAATGAGAAAGAAGCACAGAGAATCGGTGCTGATGGTACTCTGAATTCATTGTACTCTCTTTCAGGCTGAGATAGCCCAGCTTCAAGAGCAGTTAGCTCTCAAAGATGCAGAAATAGAACGCCTGCAAAGTCAACTGTCTAGGACCTCATCACATAGTGAAGTGGCAGAAAGAGGTAAGAGGGGAAACAAAATTAAAAGCACAAACTCCTACTTTAACTTCAGTTTTGTAGCAGCTTAGCTCAGTCTTTCAAAGGAATACAAGGAAATACAAGAATAGATTTACAGAATTTATTTTGCGAGGGAAAATGGTACAAACTTTGTCTTCTGGTGAAATTCTGTCCCAGTCTAGAGGCAGCACAAATTGCAATAAGTATCCTAAGGCCACCGAAACTTCTTCTACTGGAATTTTATTTATAATTTGAAAGAGTCTTTGTAGTTCAATGGGAATATTTTTTTTTTTTTTTTTGTGGAGACCTTCAAAATGTCTTTGAAAACTCTTTGCACTTTCCAATTTGTAAGGGGAAAAAAAAAAAGTCACAGTAGAGGTGAAACATAATGTTTAAATGTCCAAACAGTGTAACACATTGTCACTGACTGACCTCTTTCCTTTCTTCAGGACTATATTGCATTTACACACCCTTTCCCATGAAAGGTTGGAACAGGTGGTCTTTCAGGTTCCCTTCCAGCCTGGGCTGTTCTATGATTCTGTGACACTGCAGGTTTCTGTTTTAAATCTGCACTGTTGATACAGGTCAATGGCAAATAAACCAGTTTGTTTAGCTTTTGGTCTCAACCAGTCATGTCACAGTTCTCTGAAATACTCCCTGGAGCTTCTGTCAATTGCTGGGCTATTCTACTGGAGCACAGGAAGTTCCACCTCAACATGAGGAAGAACTTCTTTACTGTCAGGGTTCCAGAGCACTGGAACAGGCTCCCCAGGGAGGCTGTGGAGTCTCCTGCCTTGGAGACTTTTCAGACCCATCTGGATGCATTCCTGTGTGACCTGCCCTAGACTAGGTGGTCCTGCTCTGGCAGGGGGGTTGGACTCGATGATCTCTGGAGGTCCCTTCCAACCCCCAACAGTCTGTGATTCTGCACTAGGATCAATATGATATTAGTGGCCTCTTTCTCCTATAATAGTGACACTCATGCAGGAATATTTGTATGTGGTTTACTGACTTCTTGTATGGGTGTCAACTAATGCTTCCAAAGAATGCCCTTGTTCAGATGTGACTTTTCAGGTACTGTGCTGCCTCCTCCTCAGGGTTTACCAAGAATCTCCTTACAGGAATGAATGCAGATGTGTCTTTTGTGGAAGACTGTATTTTGACTATTGTTTATTCTGAAGAAGTGATTAACATGTACTAGGTGCTGATTTCAATCAGCTGCAGAGCTTGTGCATGCAGAGCTGCATGTCTAACTAGAAAATGAGTTTGTCTAACAGCAGTGTTTTGTAGAGGAATTCTTCTACTAATAGAATTTTGTATTTTCTATGAGATTCCCAAATAACTTGGAGTATTTCAAAGGAAAGACAGTGGTATGACAATAAATCAAGAGCTCAGTAACTTCCAACTTCTCGTAGTGTGTGATCCTGTTCATGCCAAGATGGGTGAAACTGTGCTTGGTTCCAGTGGGAGAGGAATCAAAACCTGTACAGATTCTTTAGGCTACATTTAAGGAAACCACTTAGCCTATATTTGAATGGAAACAGTATGAAGCAATAGTAATTATTCTGAAAAAAAATCACTGATTTTATCAGATTTTTAGGTGGTTTTCTCAAATAAAGTTGAAAAATAATGTCAATGTACATGTAGTATGTTAGCATACATATTCTAATCAAATTGTAAAATTTATCTATTATGTGCTTTTTCTACATACTTTGACTCTCGCCATTTACCATCGTAGAGGAAGTTTATAGGAGAAGGCTAAAAGAAAAAAGTAAGCCTTGCAGTTCACTTTTGGCTTTATCTCACTGTTCCTTTCACACAAATTATAACTCAGATGCATTCTGCAGCAATAATTTAATGTTTATTTAGATTTAGCTGTCTAATTGTAATATACACAAGACATTGCTTTCGTTGCTTGCAGCAAGCAGACAGCTACTCGCCCTGTTTAATAAGATTTCACTTCAGAAAGAAAAATCATAGGTTCACAAGTTAAATAGTTGGACTTCAAAGGGACATTGTCAAGATTACCCTTTAACTCTTTATATGTACATAGGTAAAAGACATATGTACATATGTAAAATCCTTGTAATATATGGAAAGACGGCTTTAATTGAAAGCCTCCTTCCTTAGAGGGAAAGGATCTGGGCTTTTTAAATCCATGCAGTAAATAAATTAAAAAAAAAAAAAAAAAAAAAAAAACTAAACAAGCAAAACCCACAAAAAGAAACTGAAAAAAACTGTCTCTGTAATTGATGTTGTTATGCATATTGTAAGTCAAGTTTGCTTTTGTATGTTTAAAAATACCTGGACACCAGTTCTTTTGAAGTCTAATATTTACAATGAGAAATTAGTAGGCTTGTGATTTTTAATGGCTTTGTAGAAATCCTCCAATTGCTTGCCCATTGCCTGCTAGCTTTAGTTTTTGATTTGGCTGTGTCTGTGCATGTCTTGTGTTACTAAGTATTCTCTTGTGCCAGCAAAATGTTTCCAAGTTTCATGTACATGTTTTATAAACCTGACCATTATAAGGTGTGTATTTTTCAGAAACTCTACAAGAAAAACTAATTACAGGTTTTGCAAATAGTTTAGATATTGCATTGTTCTATGGCTAAATACTGAACTTTTGGGTTTTATAAAAGCACTTTAGCAGTAGTGATTTCTTTTGTTCTCTCACTACCTGCCTGCCACATCTAGTTTTTGTAGTATTTTGGGAAACAAGTGGGTCTGTTTTAATGTCAAAGCATGAATTCATTGCATGGCAGTTACCACAAATACACTGCTTCAAGCCCTGTCTCCATCTTTTACTCTTGATTTAGTACAGGTTGGTACTGGAGGACTTGCTGGGAATAGTGTGCTGAGAAGAATTTTTGGTTCAGCAAGTTAGGCTGATGTGATTAACTAACCTCATAGTTTCAGAGAGTGTGTTTTAATTGATTTGAAGATAACATTCTTGAATAACCTCTAAATTGTAACACTAAATTGTGTGAGACAATTCTGTGTTAGCTCTTGATGTAGATTTTAATGTATTCATACTGAAATGTTTTAAGAAAACAATTTTAACAATTTTCCTCATATCAAATTTGTTCGTTACTTTACATTTCCAAGTTTCATGTATGTCCTTGACCTACTTCTCATCAGCTATTGTATATTTTTTTCAGATGGGATGTAATTAATTTTCAGTCAAATTTATTTCCTTAAGTAACAGTAAACACACTCTCATCTTTGAAAACTAAGCTTCAATTTTTTTTCTTTTTTTCATTACTTGACTTCTATAGTATAAAATAGTATTATGTAACCTTTTATAAGCAAAACCAGCAATGCTTTTAATAGTTTAGATTTTTAAAAGCTATAAGTTAAGTTTAGTTTAATAGCACACTTGCCATGGTACTGGCACGGTTTTAGTTGCTCATAAGAACATAAGGAGAGTATCACAAAACATACAATGTTTACACTAAACATTGCAATTGTATTGTCCTGATAACATTATTAAACAATTTTTAGATCAAGAAGTTCAACGGTTGAAGATAGGAATGGAATCATTATTGGCTGCAAATGAAGAAAAGGTGAGAAAATAATCCTGATTGTAAATGATAAGAATGAAATTATGGGTTTGAAACGTTCTGAATAACCTGCTTTCTGTAAGCATGGTATTGCCCTGATTTTTTTGGATTATCTCATGGGATTGTGACAGAAGGTTGATTTTTAAATAGAACATATGGCTGACCTTGCTAACCTGTCTGCAGAACTTGGGAAGCTCACTAGATTCCAGAGAAGCGGAAAGCCAAAAGTTCACCAAGATTGGGTCAACCCTGGCAGCTCTTCACCTGCCAACTTAATCTGAAATGCATTGATATCTCCAGTTTAGATTGTGATATTAAGAGAAAGTCAAAATGGCTTTTGAATCAGACACAAATTTTAGGAGATAGGAAACAGGATTTAAAGAGACAAATATTAAAAAAAAAAAAAAGTACTGAGGGAGAGGAGGAATGAAATTAAAACCATTTTGTAAATACAATTTTTTGGGTTTAACACCTGTATGTTGTTTGCCTGTCAATTGGACAATTCAATTAGGGCTCAATATTGGAGGATGTTTAATCTCCACTTTTAGATGCTATCAGTGTACTAGATAAATTGGGTTTTATTTTTGGAGAGGGCAAGATAGGGAAGTTTGAGGGGGATTACTTCTTGAGGAAATCGTGATTCTTGTTTCCTAGTAATAAACCAGGCCATAGGATTTTCCTTTATGGTGACACACTTGTATACAATCAAATAGACAATACTACACATCCCAAAAAATTCCATTAGTAAGCGTGAATCTGGACAGAGCAGCGTTCGTTCTGGAGAACCTGTGTCATTCATGACAACATTTAGTTCTTAAAATGTCAAAAAGCTAGAATTTACATCTGGAAAATAAAAGTCTTAAAAGACATTATCTCCTGAGAAAATTGTTCCAAGTCTGCATGAAAGTTTTGTATTTGAAGGGAACACAAAATGTTGTTGCTTATGCCCCCATATCTAGATGTACTCACAGGGAAGGGAGGTTATCTCATTGGAAACCGTAGCATTTAAACTAGTGGACTGACGGTTGGCAAATAGCTTCTGAAATGTTTAATGTAGAAGTGTTACCTTCAGTAACATTGCAAAATAAAATATTCTGCCTGAGGGAAGATAGCTCTAAATAGCTTTTGGCATAAATCTAAATACTCCTTGTGTCATGTAGGATAGAACGTGCTCAACTAAGTTGCTAGTAAGTGGTACACATATTTCTTTTTTGAAAAACTGGGTATGTTCTTTGCTATGAAGACGAACCTATTGCTTCTCCCCACAGCTGGGATAAGTGGCTATCTGGTTTAGGCCTCTTGCCTTGTGTGTGCATGCTGAGGGGTGAAGGGAGGATCAGCATCATCTGCTGCTCTGTAACGCGGTGAATGTCTAGTTGCTGTGCAGTTACTCCTACAACACGGCTGATACCTGCTGTGACTGTAATGTAACACACAGGCACTGGAGCAGATTTGAATTGAAATCTGATGGTGACCTTCCCTGCAAAGTGTGTTTTATCCAGCATCCGATTCTCTGTTTCTGTGGCTTTCCTGACACCTGCTTGTGAAAACCAGTTATTTATTACTTGCTTGGGTTTGTATTCAGTGCTCCACAGTCACAACAATAGGCAAGATTATCTTGGGATGGCTTATAACTGATGGCTTATAACAAGATTACTGGGATGGCTTATAACAAGATTACTGGGATGGCTTATAACGTGAGTCAGGAAGAGGGGGCGAAGTGTAAGAGTGCAGCTTGCAAGGCTTAGCTGAGAGCGAGACTGTCATCATCCAGGACACTCTCATTTGGGAAGAATGACAGCTCAAATCAGATGATGGTTACTACTTATCACGATGTTGCATCTGTGCAAAAGGCGAGTGCCCTCCCTGAATACATGAATAAAGATGCTTCCAGTAGATAATAGATATTGGGTTAGGTATTGGAGAAGGAGAGGACTCAGATAATGCACAAGATATTCATAAGACCTCGTGTCTTTGATTCCATATAGGTTTGACGGCCTAAGTTCAAAAAGGTGTGTTCAAAACTGGGATAAAGTATAGCTGTTGGAATGCAGAATATATCCTACACGAGAGGACTAAAGAGCATGACTAGATTGTTGAACTATACAAAACATGAGCATAATTTACTTTACTGTTACAGGTACAATGCTTAGCAAAAAACCAAACACTGCCCACTTCAGGCACTTGAGGTTCAACTCCTGAATATCCCCTTGACTGTTAGAAGTGAAAGCAATTTTCCATATTATGCTTATGTAAATAACTAATTTACTACTAATGTCAAACTCCTTTGGTTTCCTTACATCCATAATTTCACCCTGTCCAACAAATACCATGTACGATAGCAAATAAAAGCCAAGAAATGTTCCTTACAAGGCATGTGAGAGACTTGATTTCTCGAAAAGCAGGCCAAAGTCACAGAAATGAATGAGTAATACAGTCTTTCTGCAGGTTGAAACTGTGAATGTTTTCCTTTAATGCTTTTCACAGGACCGTCGAATAGAGGAGTTAACACACTTGCTAAGCCAGTACAGGAGGGTCAAAGAGATAATGATTGCAGCTCACGGTAAAGTGTCTTGTGAATAATTTCCTGGTATCAGGTCTTTTTAAAACGACCTGCCCTCCAGTTGCTGTTTGTTGTCCTTTTAAATATATGTGTATAGTAATACAGGTCACACATATATTTGTGTATTGTTGGGGTGCTACTCTTTCAGATACGGAGAGCACCACAGTATGTCTTGACCAGCCTTGTGTGTTAGTGCCTGTAGTTTGTGGAGATTTCCTTTGTGTTTCCTATGCTGCAAGAAGTACCAAAACAAAACTGTCAAATCTGTCATCAGGAGATTTACTTACAATATTACTATTCAGCAAGATTTCTGTGACTGAATCTTATGCTGGACTCTGTAAATCACAACCTAAAATTTGTTCTACATCAGTTAATAGTAAATCCTTACTTGGAGCCCAGGTTTGGTGCTGTATGTTGTTTTGCTGGTGTCATTAAGGATTCTGATTGATAAGGAAGGGTGATCAATAGGATTACTGATTGTGGCTGCTGGTTGCCATCCCCTCAGTAGTCCCTAGGTTGTAGAGGCCAGACCGAAAGGGATAACAGCGAAAAGGAGGCAGCAAGAGGCTCGTGCCAACACTGAATCTGTCGACACAGGGGCAGTTAGGGAAGTTAATTCAAATTTGCTACAGGCATGAGTGTACAGTATTCTTACTGAATTGCATTATATCCCTCTCAAGAATCTCTTACTCTAAATTAAAATGACGTTTGGGTTGATTTAAATTACTCCATCTGTAGGTGTATAATAAGGGATACAGAAAGGGATTAAGTTTTTATGGTGTTTCCTGTGACCATGATGTTATAACTGTTTTTTAGAATGTAAAATGATATCAGCAGATCTTAGTGGAATATGAACATTAATTACATACATCCTATATTCAGATTTCCTACACCACAGTTTAATTCAGGAACGGCAGTAATGGTTAGCTGCCAGCCAGCTAGCATTAGTGACACAATGCTTTCCTTTTATGTCACATTTTTTATATGGCATGTTAACTACCTAGAGTTGCTGCATCTCCCATCACATAAATTAAGTTATTAATGTGCTTAAAGGTCATTCTAAATTTCTCCATCATGGCATAGTGGCCCTTCCACATCCTGTTTGCAGCCCTATGCACAGGAGATCTCCAGAAAAAAAAATCTTATCCAAAATACTCTGTAAGTTTGCTGAGCACTGAATATTCAGACTGTGATTTAATATTGCAGCTTTGACAGTTTAGGAATAAAAATCATACTAAATAAGGAATTTGGAGTATTTCAGTATTTATTTACATTGGGGATATCCAGAAAACCTTGGAGTGTGTTTACCACACTGATCCTTGAACTGAGCTGGGGGCCCTGCATTGTGTAGATACTGATGAAGTCAAACGTGCATACTACCTGTAAAACAATACACTGTGAGAAAATGGCACCCACTTGAACTTGCCTCAGAACATCAAGGTATGAATTGAGTGGTTCAGGATCTGCCTCCTAAGCTGCTCAGCTACTCACAGCAGAGCAGGGCATATAATTAGAAGGGATACATTTGTTGCTCTGAAATAAATCATCTTTGTTATGTGCCAGAGCCTGAAGGAGGGGTGGGGTGCGAGAGGCTGGTAGACTACATGCATCAGATGAAGACTGAAGAGGAATTTAGAAACTGAAGTTACTTAGACTCTCTGATATGGTCCTAACTATATGTTTCTTTGTTGGGTTTTTTTTGGTTTTTTTTGGTTTTTTTTTCCTGTTTCTCTCCCTTTCTGTTTCTAATCTTCAATGCTCACAGCCTCTTCTGTCTCTGGTGGCAGTGAAGAGGAACTTGAGACAACTTTAAGGAAGTGGAATCTTTTGAATAATCCTCAAGGAGAATTAATTAAAACAGAGGTACTTCATAAAGATGTTTTAGAAGCAAGCTCTGCTGTATGTATGATTTGTTTGTATTGGTTTCTCTGTAGTAGCTAAAGTGAGGTAGATGAGGGTTTGACCCTGTCTGAGTTTTTGTACTTCTTGTTATGGGGACAATAGGTTCAGGATTAGGCAGTAGAGTTACAGGCTGAAACTCTGCTGTTTTACATAGGCCTCTTCAGGAGAACTGTCACCAGCTGTGTTGTCACCAGTGCCACACAAAGCCATGGAAATCAGGCAAGATCTTTGTTTCTTGTATTTTGTGTGGACTGTCCCAAGTCTGTATTATTTATTCTGTTTAACTGTTGGCATCTTGTCCTGCCTGTTCTTGGCTGTGCAAGGAATTTTGGGCAGTTGTGAAAGCAGTGTTTGCCATGGGAGTTTGCAATGCTTAGCTGTATAAGGTTTGAATTACAGGAATAAATTAGCACTTTTAGATAGAAGATACACCTATTGTAGTACTTAAAACAGTGTATTTTATTCTGATTTAAAGTGGAAGCATTCCGGTATCTTCAACTAATTTAACCTCCCCACAAGAGGAATCTTTGGAAATCCTAAATAGGTAAGAATGAGTCACTTTAATTGAAATGTGTAACATACAGTGAGAAAATCTGTTTTTTATAATTTTGCCTTCTTCCATTTTTAAAGTCCCTCATTGCTGTACACTGCTCACAGAGAGTTATTACTGCCTGCTGCTTGTCAGGAGCTTCTAAAAAGTCATCTGTAGATACAAGGTTTAAAACTGCATATTTTACCTTGTTGCCTTTCCTTACGGATCAGATGGCCTTGTTGCCATTTCTGACTTTACCTACTGCAGTTCCCAATATTCTTGAGTTTAGGCTAAAAATGTAACAAAAGAAATTAATCTCCTAATTCTGAATTATCTGGTATTTGCAGACATTGTGATGTGTATACAGCTGTCATATGATACACTTGTGGCATATGCAAACATACCGTGTCCTATTAACTGTTGCTTTTTTGCCTGACATTATTTTAAGGGTTCCACAGAAAAAAAAGTCCAGTAGTTTAGAAGACTTGCAGAGTGAATCTTTGGAAAAGGTTGGTTTATTTGTAATCACAGCTTCTAGTGTTGTTGATGATGTTAAAGATGACAGTTACCAAATAGAATATTTGAATATCACAACTAAAAAATAAAAGTCCAGTGTAAATATTATTTTTGTTCCACATGTGGTAGCCCTGAACACCAGTAACACTGAAGCCCTTACGATAAAACAGTGCAGGTTCTCTTTTTACCACATTGCCAAGCTTAGCATAAACAGACTAGTTGGCACACCTGTATGTACACATCCTCAAATTCAGCTTTTCACCTGAAAGAGAAGAAAAATATTTAAATGAAATACAACAATTAATGTTAATGAGGAGTCATTTTGTTGAACTGCACTATTATTTTGTTTATGGACAAGTGTCTTTAAAGTAATTTTGACTTCCAAATCACTAAAAATATTAAAGCAGCAAATCCTGAAAGTAATTAAATATTTGGACGAGGGCTTTCCACCTAGAATTCCTTTTTTTGACTGTCTGCATGTAGATGTGAGTGTCTCTCCCTAAGTTAGACCTCTGATATAAATGGCATTTTTGAAGACAGTAGTGATGCTGCCTTAGTTAACACAGCAGGAGCACTGTTATTCATTCAAAGGTTTAATTCCATTCCAGAATAAAGTCCTTCCAGGTTGCAGTGTCTCATTGTGTTATGGTCCAGAGGCTTGTTTTGTCCTTGCAAACACTGAAATTTTTCTCCACTTGTAATTATGATTTGTGAAACTTACTAACTCTATACTCAAATTAGGCTTAATACTAGATTACCCACGCTCAGTAAGGCTATTTAAAATGATTTCTAGTAATACGATTGTTCTGATACTTCAAAGTATCTTAAAGTTTTCTTAAATCTCTGAAAATGACAGTTACAAATAGAACATTTGAAATTTGTGTTGCGCTTATTTGATCGTGTCATACACGTGACAAATCCGTTCAGAACTAACATTCCATTCCATGTGGAATTTATGAAGGTCTGTTTTCTTTTCAAAACTTAAAAATTATACTCCTGTCTTAAATTTAAAAAGTTCATTTCTCTGTGATATGAAGTGGTAAGGCTGTACCTACACATTTAGGATGTAAATCTGCTCGCTCTATTAAATCAGAGTCCACAGAGGAACGAGAAACTACCAAGGACACAAGAGAACAGTAGCAAGCTAGCCCCATGTTCAGCAAGGCATTTAAATTGGATGGCCTGAGTTAGCCATGGGGCTTCTTAGTGAAACAACTGAGACTTCCCTGTGCGTGTGAGTGACTGGCTAAATGTGAATCAGTTACGACAAAAGCTAAGGCCAAGAAAACTTGTTTTGCTGACTCACCATGACAAGACTGCTCCTTGCATTAAGCCCAAGAGAACCTGTGCGAGCAGCAGCGTTTACTGGAGCTATGCTAGTCTGCACAAAACTCAAGTTCCCATTACATCCAGCAATAATACTGTTACTACCACTGATAATAAAAGAAAGCACACTGATGCCTCTATGGCCATGCTGGTAATTTTTATCGCTTCATTTCTATCACAGCTCTTTATGGTTTGAGCAGGATATGTACAGTATTGTCTATGTTCTGTTTTGGTTTTGTGTTGGTCTTTGTCATATTGTTTTAACTGTTAAACAGCTTTCATGTTCCCAGCTCAAAGTAAGTCTAAAGAGACCACCCAGAAGCCTGAAAATAGAAAAATTCCTCTGATCACAACAGAACCTAAACGGGGCCCAAATTTTGCAGGGTGGATTGAACAAACACACTTAGTATTAAATATTTTATTGAAATCAAACAAAGAGATAACAGACCTTGTAATATATTGTCAATGCATTAAATGGCATTGCTACAGTAGTAAGACTACAATTGCTGTTCTGTGTATGTATGTTAACACTAACATTTGTCTGTTGCTTTTTTTCATAAAACTTTGAAATTACCCTCCCTGCAACTCCGTAGTATGTAGACGGAAAACCAGTACAGCCTGTTGTAGAACAAGAGGTATAATAACTGTAAACTCTCTTAACATTTATCTGCTGTGATGTGGTGTGATGTGCTGTGCTGTGATGGTATGGCTGTGTTTTCATTGTATGTTCATCTGCTTTTAAAACATTTGCATAGTTCCAGTAGTGATAAACTCTGAGAACAGGGGTGAGAATGTGAGATGGAACTGTTCTTTTTAACTAAAAGCTTTTATGTGGGGTTAGAAGCTGCAGTCAGTCAGGTTTCAGAAAATACAGTGCTAATGTAATAAGTAATTTCTCTACTCATACAAATTTTGGTACAAGTCAGGATGTTCTCCTGGAGTCACCAGAACAGGGACAGGGATTGAAAAACTGAGGAATCTGGGCTGCAATTATAGAATCACAATGATTCCTCTAGGCCTTGAAAGAAAAACAGATAAACCAGTGGTTATCTCACTATATATTTCATGTACTATTCTGTCACAGACAACGTTTTAAATGTTTCAGAACAGTTTGTTAGAGTGGGGTTACTAAACAGGCACATACTATACGGTTTTGTGTACTAAGTATGTTTTGTGTACTAAGTATGTTTTGTGTATTTTCAGTACCAAGTTTTCCTATGTAAGCTCCTTCCTGGTACTGAAATGAACACATGTATCAGTATGAGCCTATTCCAAAAGACATCGAATATACACCACTCCCACCAATATCAACTGGACGTGCAGGTTCACTGCTTCTCTGGAAAAGCTCTACATTCCTATAGCCTTGACAGCTGTGGGAAGTATGATTTTGTCCAGAGTGATGGCTTTTCATTTGGGCCTCTGTGAAAAACGTACTTTGGCTGGAAAAGTATCTTGTTAGGCTCAAAACAATCAGATCGGTATGCAAGTTCTAATCTACCCTTGTGACGAGCAAGATTCACAAGTAGTTTACTGCTGAAAAATGGAACGTAAGGAAAATTAAGGGATACTGTCTTTTTAACAAACCTACATACCAGTTCCCTTTCCATACAAAATACTGAGATTTTGAGGACCTCCCCTTGTGAGCTCTGTTGCTGGAGGAAGATCCTTCCAGCACAAGGAACCTCTGATGCTGGTGATGCTGTGCACGTGTGGCACAGCTGCAGGCAGCCATCTGTTAGACACTTATCTTAGGCTGATGTGGACAAAATCTGCAGTCAGCAGCCATTCAGGCTAGCCCTAAAGTACTGCTATGTTTGTGCTCTTTTTTGCCCCCAGCATATATCAAAAGTATACCTTGTGCTTAGGTTCTATAGTAGAATTGGCAATTATACATTTAGCTATGTATTTGGCAACTATATATTTAACTATAAAAAACCTTGCACTTGTACTGGTATCTACACAAAGAGATCTTATTTCTTAGGAAAGTTACATTTCTGTACCCTAACTTCACTGTTGATTCTTTTACTGTTATTAATGGTGGTGGGCAAATACCTTTGACAAAATTTCAATTATACAAATACTTTTGGCATAAAGTCCAGCAAGATATTATGAGACAGAAATCCAGATAGTCTGGTGAAAATAAGGGGAAAAATTGACAGAGCAAAGAATGGGCTGAGAAGTAACTAAATGCATTTCTGGTACTATCAAAGTTGGCCTTGGAATGATCAAATTATTATATAGTGCCAGAGTCCTAAAGGAAAGAGAAAGAGCTAGAAAAATTCTTACAAGAGAGCCAGGTAATGCTTAATGTGTATTATATTTTAATGTAATATACAAGCTGGCTGAGGTTAGTGGGGCAGATGAGGGAAGAGAAGGCTGTGTCTTAGCTTGAAAACTTTGTCAGCTAACAACTGGTTTTAAAGTGAATTCTCTGTAAGCAGGAACATGGAGGAGGAGGTGTCATTTTGAACTTTGAACTTCAAATAGTTTCAACTTCTAAAATACTGTGTACTGGATCATAAATGCTAAGTGATGTAATTTTGCACGTATTTGTTTTATTTCTCCCTCTTAAAACACAAACAAAACCAAATACCACCACCAAACCCACAGAGTAAGCCACTTGTGAAAGGCAGCAAGTACCAAACCCTGCCAGGGAAGCTGCCTCGGCCGGCACAGAACGGAGAGCAGGGAAAGTGCAGTTCCCCGGAGGGGGGTGGCACGAACGGCACCGAGGAGAACGGCAGCCTGGGGCTCAGTGAGTATCCGTGGAGACGCTGGGGAGCGTTCTGAAAGTCAGTAGCTCTGGAACTAAAAATGGGGATTTTCAGAGGTGCAAACATATTGACAATACGAGGGCGTTTTTTCAGACATGCTTCCAGTGCTCCCAAGGTTGATGTTTTCTTAAAAAAACAAGCATGCAAGCAAAACTGCACAGCCAAGTACATTAAAATGAATACTAGACTGGTGTATTAAAAACAAACCTATCCCTTGCCATACCACTGCTTTTTAGTATGTGACCCTTTACAATATAACTAGCACCAACATGTATAACGTGTCAGTCCACACCATAGCCGTATGTGGAAGCTGATATTAAATTTATTTTCAGTGAAACCTTAAGCGTGGAGGTTTTTTACAGCAAGTGTTACAGTGAGGCACAGAAGCAGGTATTTGCCAAGGACTGAAGAGCTTAGGAGCTCAGGCACAAGAGTGTTCCTTAGGATTCTGAAGTGTTCCTACACTTTAGAAGTTATGGTGGGGTGGAGTTTTATTTATTTTAAGACCTCTTGGTCCTAAAAGCTGTTAGGGTACTGTAGTTTCAAGCTTCCAATAGGCTGTAGGTTCTTTAAGGTTTAAGATTTTTGTTTTTTTCCTGTGATTGCAAGATTGTAGGCAATGCCTGAGCATTATGTATGAGCTATTCTGTCTTAAACTGTGGGATTATCCAAGGATGGGTGATCTTGTAATGGAAAATATTTTTACTAGAAACAAGCAATGCCTCCTGAAGTACACTGAATTAACAGAATTTTTAATACAGGTTGGTTTGTTTCTTTCATGTGCAGTAAACTCATCACACCTTCAGTTCTGTATTTCAGAGGAATTTGATGTAATCTCAGACATAGCTTTATTTCAGATATTCTGCAGATTTTGTGGAGCTCTACAGTGTATGCCTAATGTGTTCAAGTTGTCCAAGAATAGTTTAAAAAAAAGGACAAAAAACAGATAATTTATCGCTACCTGTTTAAGATGACCTGTACAGAATTCTTGGGGATGTGCACACCAATGCATATTCACTTTCATGTCAGGCATAACTGCTGCTTCTCTTTTAGTTTCTGCTGTTAATGCTTAGCTTACTTCTTTGCTCTTCTGTAACTTTTATTTTGCTGGTGTTTTGTATCTTCTTTGCCTCATCTGGCTTTCTGCTTCTTGGGATGACTGAAGATCGCATCAGGAGTGTCAGTGCACCAGTGCTAGGTACTGTATCCAAACGAGATGCAACTTTAACATGAATTTTGCTGCTTACCTTTTTCCTTTCCTTCTTCCCTCCCTTTCTCTATGAATTACTAATACCAGCTGGGCCAGCCAGGTTGAATTCCTTAAATGCAGTAGTGAAACGAGGTAGCAGCTTTTGCTGTATGGCATTCAGATGGGATTTCTTCTTAAGATGCTTATTGCTGGTTTCATTCTGTTTTCACTGAAGTCAACAGAAAAATTTCCAGTGATTTTCATGGAGGAGTTATAGTACTCAGAATAGGCAAGGCAAGAGTCTGTTTCAGTCCAAAGTCCTTAAATTAATTACAATAATACATTTAAGTACAAGTGACTGAAATAACAATAGTCTTACTTTTACAAATTTTTATTACTTTGTTTTGTATCAAATGTACAGCTTTTTTCACCTCCTGAGCATGCTATTTAATACCAGAATAATTTTATAGATATCTTTACTTCTTTATTTTATGTTCTGCATTATTCTTCTAGATAACAACTTTGTTAATAATTAGTATAAAATGTGACTGTATTACTGTTCTTAATCCAGGAGAAACAGAGAATGTGGATGGTACAGTAATCTCAGACGACCTTTCACCTCTTTCTTCGGGAACGGATACAGGTCCACAATCTCCACTGTCTCCAGAAAACAGAAAGAGTCCAAAAGGGATCAAGAAAATCTGGGGAAAGTAAGGTCATTTTGTTTCAGTTCCCTGTCAAAGCATTTTGCCTGAGAATTAATCCCGTTCTTGGCAAAAGCTACAATATGTACAGCAAAAATAAGTAAAATTCAGGAAAGGGAGAGAAGCAGCTCTGATTGTGTGGGTGTGTCTCTGTGCACGCATGGGTGTAGAAGAATGGGTGGTAGTGTTCACAGGGTCATGCTGTTGGAAGAAATAAAACACTCATCTGTCATTTTAATACTAATAATTCAGAATGTCAGTGGTTTCATTAGTTATGAAAAATTAAATGATAGTTGTTCTTTACAGAAAGCATTGGTAAAATATTAAACAGGAGGATTGAGTTTTACTGCTTTTTTACTGCACTTTATCTGCTTCAGGACAGCAGACATTTACAAGTCTTGCCTCCAGTGTGGATTATTAATTGGATTGAGGAGTTCTGACTGCTCTGCAGAGCTTTCTTCTTTCCTCAGTTAGGTCTAGACAGTGTTTCCCTGCAACGTCTTCAGCCACCATCCGAGTTAGATGTTCGTGGTTTACAGGAAGGACAATACAGGTTCTAGTTGTCACTCTATGAAACTGATGTTCTCTGTTGCAAGCTAACAGTATTATCGTGGCACTCTTGTCTTGAAAGAATAAGAAGAACTCAGTCAGGTAACTTCCCTGCAGACGATCTGGGTTTGGCAGAGTTTCGAAGAGGTGGTCTCCGTGCAACAGCTGGACCCCGGCTATCCCGATCAAAGGACGCCAAAGGCCAGAAAAGGTAAGAGTCCCTCCCGTGCCGTGCGCAGCGTGAGACGCGCCGCTGGGAAACCTGCCCAGCAGCCACACCCTCCTCTAGAGAAACACGTTTTTGCCGGTGTACTTCCTTACACATGGAATTCCACAGCTGGTAGAAAAGGTATCCTGAGTAGCTCCCCCGTCTGCGATCCCTCAGCCGGAGGCTGCAGCACTAGCTGTTTGTCAGAGTGTCAGAAATTTCATCTTGTTAAAGGACAAGACAACTTACCATCCATCGTCTTCTGTGAGAACATCTGCAAAGTGATGAGGAGTCAGCAATTCCCTGTTTCCTCTTTTCAAATAGAAAATGGGAAATTCTTAATTCACCCTCCTGCGTCCCCCCAACTGTTAACAAGCTGAGGCTGGGCAGCCAGATTAACAGGACCCTGGTACTACAGCGTTCACTGCAAGAATGGCTCTTGGCTTCTGTTCTTGCACAGAACAAAGCACGCTAATACACGCATCACAGTGCTGCCTCTGTCACACCACAAGCTTTCTGACAATAACTATAATTCTTCCAAGATTTTTTCAAACGTTTCTTGTACTTTTCAGTGACTACAATGCTCCGTTTGCTCAGTGGAGCACTGAAAGAGTCTGTAACTGGCTTGAGGACTTCGGTCTCGGCCAGTATGTCATTTTTGCACGGCAGTGGGTGACTTCGGGCCATACATTGTTATCTGCAACGCCTCAGGACATGGAAAAGGTAATAACCTGTGTCTCTCAAGCAGTCCTACGTGTTGATTCTGTACAACCAGGCCCCTCCAAACAACTGGCAGTTCTGCCTTTCTGAAATATGTAGTATCCATTTTTGTAGATACCTAGGGAGACTTTAAAAGAGCCAGAGCCAACACGAACTATTTGTTAATGGTTCTTGTTGCAGGAAATGGGAATAAAGCATCCACTGCACAGGAAGAAATTAGTTTTGGCCATTAAATCAATCAATGCAAAACAAGATGAGAAGTCTGCACAACTTGATTATATCTGGGTGACACGTAAGTGTTTGAACCGTCATGAAATTGTTTGAAAAGGGACCTCCCCCAGCCCAGCAGGATGGGTTGGCTGATCTATTTTTGTTTAAGCAGTTAGCAAACATCCTTTTAAGAGCACTAAGGTTCAACAGAGTAGAATGAGGGTTCCTGCTGTGTACTTGACATCGGAATATGCAGCCGTATCACTGAGATGGCAGGGAAGTAATGGGGGGACTCACTCCAGCAAGAGCTAGTTATGCTGCAGAAGGTAAGTGCTCAGTCACAAGCTGTGTGTAGAATACCACAGGGGTATTGTGGACAAAGCTGTTGGGTGGGAACTGCTTTTAGGTTTCTGGTAAGAGGCTGTCCTTTCGAAAGGTGAATAGGTGGAGCGAGCTGGCTGAATGCTTCCTCCCCACTGGTCTGGCTATGGGTACACCGCTGCTCTTGTATCTGCAGGATGGCTTGATGATATTGGTTTACCTCAGTACAAAGACCAGTTTCATGAATCCAGAGTTGATGGGAGAATGTTGCAGTACTTAACTGTGGTAAGCTAAAATCCTTTTCCTTCAGTTTAATCAAATTTAACTTCAGAATGAGCAAAGAATTTGAAAATTTTCCTTCAAATGTGAGCAGGTAAAGAATTTTTTGCAAGACAGAAATAGTGCCAGTAGTTACTCATTTATGTTGTCTAGTGTACAATTACTATTCCTAAGGTACAGAAAATAAATCATAGGCTATGCTAACTTCTGTGAACTCTTTCTTTCAATATCATGTAGTGCACCACAATTGAAGATAAAATGACTTATTTTACATGCAGCTTCTGGAGCTGTTCTCTACACCAAATTAGCAACAATATTCAGTATGAGCAGCAAATCAGGTAACTTGTACAGCTCTGACCACATTAGTACAACACAGAGCCACTGTATTTTCCTACACATTTGCATAATTATTTGTTTTTGTTAACTGCACTATGAAAAAAATGCCTAATCTAGCCGTTACCAAAAGTACAGCCTTGTCTATGCTGCTTAAGGAGCCTCTGCTGCAAGGAACATGGTCTCTAGTCTTCCACAGTCAGGTGTGTGTTGCTAGCTGCAGTGATCCCAACCAAAAGAGGATCTTAGCCAGATCAGAAACAGTCCAAATATTTTAAAGAATCCATGAGCCTGGATTTTACTTAACAGGCTCCAAGCACTCATTCATGTTTAGCCAGGTCTTGCTATGGTGCAGTGTTTAAAAACAAAAACTACCGCCCTAAAAAACCCTCTTTAAAATATAAATTTTTGTTTTACAGCTACATAGCAAGCTTAAAATCTTTGATCTTGGGGAAAGTTCCTGGTTTGGTATGTATGCTGTGCCACTTAAACGGCTCTCTCTCTTTTCCAGAACGACCTTCTCTTTCTGAAAGTCACCAGTCAGCTGCATCATCTGAGTATTAAATGTGCCATTCATGTGCTGCATGTCAATGGTTTCAACCCCCACTGTCTACGCAGGAGACCAATTGAAGAGGTGAAAAAAATGTTTAAATAAATGAATTGAAACAAACACAAATTACCTGATTCTAAGCAAAGGGGATAGAAAGTCAGCAGGGCATAATGATACAACACAGTTGCTGCTACTAGGGAACTACATCTAGTTGTGCTGCTTTCCAGCTCTGGAATCTAACGTGTGCTCAGCAATAATAAACATCTACTCAGTCCTTAAATGCTTGAGCCACTTATTAGTTGAATTTCATGCACTTTGCTTTAGAAATTATTTGCTTAGTTTAGAAAAGTTAATTCAACTTCCAAGAGAATTATTTGGAAAGTTTTTTTTCTTTTTCTGTCCTAATTTTTAACTCTCAAAGACTGTAATGTTTTTGCCTTACCTTGTCAGCACAGCTTAGTCTCTTAGTCCTAAAGAGTGACAATACTACTGTTCTCACAATGCTCCCTGTTTTACCTGGCAGAGATTACCTGGCATCTGTCATCTCTACTGTTGTACTACTTGAGGCAATATATGGGCTTTCATCTCCATTAGGCTGTGTCTGTCCTCTACTCAGAGGATGTCTGAAACAGGCCTTGAGCAGAACAGCACCTCGGCATGAGGGCGACAGTACTGCCCCTTTGAGGAGGAGCGAGGTTTCTGTCGGCACCGGGGACGTGTGTCGTGAAGGTGCCACGACCATGCCGGGGACAGTTTCATCCTCCTTTCTGCTTCCTTCCCACAGAGCAGCGGTTCGGCTTCTGAGGTGGTGCAGTGGTCCAACCACAGAGTGATGGAGTGGCTCCGATCAGTCGATCTGGCAGAGTACGCTCCAAACCTTCGAGGAAGCGGAGTGCATGGTGGCCTGATCGTAAGAATTTGTTGGAACATTTTACTACATATCTAATGAAAATTGACAGGCTGTGATATAAAACATCTTTTGTCTGGGGTTTGTCAAGGAGGAAAAAACCTATCTACAGCATGATCAGGCCTTCTAAAGAGCCTCTTTATCTGGTCCATGCATCTTAACTTTACAAAGGAAAACTAAAATAAAAGAGCAACTGCTAAAACTTTATAATCAGGGCTGGGCTATTCATGAGTGTTTCACAGCAGTACGTAAAAAAAGACCAAAGAACACACTGCATCCTGAGAGAGCTACTTACTGATAAGGCATGACTGTTTCTTTGAGTGGTTTTAATTGCATTTTGAGACACAGTAAATAACTGACCTGAACTCGTGGCAGTCTCACCACAGTCAGGAATGACATTTTTTAAATTCAAAACATGCAGAACTATGTGCAGCTTAGTGACATCAGAGTTCTGAAACACAGTGATTCTAGTGCTATAGAAGTTTTGCAAAAATGAAATAGAAAACAATTGTGCTAAGATTACATTTATACTCTGAGTAGAGCAGAAAATTCTGAAAACAAACTTGTTCAATCCAAAAAAGTATAAGGATGATAGATGTAAACCTGTATTTGCCTGATCCTGCTCTGCATTTCTCAGTGTCTGCCTTCATGTGTTGCCCTTTCAAACCCTAGTAAGTGTCGTAACACAAGTGAGTGACAGAAGGTAGACCTACAGGTATCTTAGTAAGAATTAGAAATTCCTCCAGTAACCACTGTAAAGGTTTCCTCTTGCAAATATTTAACCATACAGACGACAAATATTCTCCCATTCTGCAACAGATGCTTGAACCTCGCTTCAACGGTGACACGCTGGCCATGCTGCTGAACATTCCACCTCAAAAGACCCTCCTGCGACGCCACCTTACAACCAATTTTAACATATTAATTGGACCAGAAGCACAACAAGAAAGAAGAGAAATAACGGAGTCTGCAGCATACACACCTCTGACCACCACTGCCAAAGTTCGGGTATGTACTGCTTTTAGAAAGGAGGTATTTCAGAATTCCACTCCCCTGTCTCACACAGAACATAAGGGAACAAACAAGAGCAGGGAAGGAGTGTTAAATTTTCCTTAATTCTAGATACCCAAGTATTTAATTTGTATCTGTTTAAATTGGCTTCTGAAATAAGCATGTAATCCCTTCTGTCTTTCTGCCTAAGGAATGCTATCTGAATGCTTTTCATACCAACCGTAACCCCCAATTTGAAAACAAGTTTATTTAGTGCAGTCTATTGACTTGAAGGACTAGGGTAGAGAAGTACATCAAACAAGAAAGGATTTTGAACATTTGGAGGACAGCCTTAATTTCTTATTCAAAACTTACTCTGTTGTTTTCTTCTTTTAGCCAAAGAAACTTGGATTTTCACATTTTGGAAATTTAAGAAAAAAGAAATTTGATGAATCAACAGACTACATTTGTCCTATGGATGCGAACCCAGCTGCTGCAAATGGCACTCAGAAAAACTACAGTGGATACAAAGGACTTAGTCCGTTCACTGATAGGGAACTGGATCAGGTGGGACACACAGACTGATGCCATTCTCATCTCATCCTCTCCACGCATTCCAAAGCTTGCAAATAACCAAATGTTATGTTAGCATATAACAATGTGTTTGCTACATCTGCATGAACTTACTGAGAATGTATTGGCTATGGATGCTGGAAAAAGTTTTATACTAGAATGTCAGTTTTTTTAATCAACAGCATAATAAACTCATCCATCTTCAGACCCTTTTTCAGGACTATAACACCTTTACACTATAAAGATTGATGTATTTTGACAATTAAGGTGGTGGTTGCAGTAAACACGAGACTTTTGTACTTCTAGCTTTCATAATCTCAGCATGGCACATTACTTGTTTCATTATCTTTATGGGTGTTTTTTAATGTAATAAATTTATTTGGACTAATTTGTACAAAGCTATGAAGTTATATATTCAAGGACAACCGGATTGTATTTTTTTAACAGATATTAGTCAAAGAATCCAACTGAATTTTTCTTTTATTATGTACAGTGGGGACTAGCTATGCTTAGGCAGTATATGTGAAAACAATGCATCAGTAATGAACAAGATTATTAATAAACTAATACTTAAATAATTCACTTATCTAGTGTGAACTTGTGACTGAAATTGTCTAGACATCAAAAAGACAAATAATGAGGACTAAAACCTATCAAATTTTATTTAACTTTGCTGTTGTGTAAAGGGATGTAAACCCTGAAAAATGGAGCTCCTGGAGGCCTGTGTGAACTTTAGAGCCAGACAGAGGCAGCTGGGGTGAACTGTCTCCAGCAGCCTTGAGAGAAAAAACATTGTTTTAAGCCTGATAAAACAATGGTCACAAAATTGAAAAGACTGTGAAAGTAATTTTTTCATTTGTATGGTTTACTGCATCTAACATCTCGTTTCAGTTCATTATCTAACTATTGGCGTTACTTCAGTAAGGTGCACATGAAAGAAGTACTGTCCCTCAGTGGGGGCAGTACCAAACCCTGACTGCAGCGGAGCGCGGGCGGCCAGGAGCGCGGGTGCCTGCGCCGGCTCGGGGTGCGGGCTCACAGCAGGCAGTCCTTCACGCCGCGCGAACATCCCGGCCGCTTCTCTAGGAGCGTGGGCCTTCACATGGGCACCAGTTCTGAGCGTGGGGTGCTGCAGCCAAACCCCCATGCCCGAGCACTGACCACTGTTCTCTGTAAGGGACACATGCTCTCTGTCATTAAGGACTCCCACCTCTTGCCTGTGAAAGAGGACTACCAGAATTAGAAGTGTTACACCATCTGGAAAATATCACTCTTCGCTGACAGTAACAGTTAAGCTTTTTCTTTTGCTGTGTGAATTACAGCTCAAGTCGCATGGAATCAATCTCTTAACCAGAATTCATTCTCCTATCATAAATGCATTTTCACGTGGCTTAGAGCATGGAGGCATTTTGGCTAATATGCAGAAATCCCATTTTTCTAAACTTACCACAGCTTCATTTGTCCAGGCACAGATACCTCCCAAAGATGCATGTAGAGTGAATAAAATTGCACGTACTATCTGATTTGAACTGGTTCTGAACACTTTTACAGATGGAACATTCAGCAGGAACAGTAATGCAAATAGGGGCTCTTTCTCAAGGCATAAGTCACCTTACGGTATGTACTGTTTCCACTCCTGTTTTCAAGTCACAAATGTATTCTGCTAGAATTCAGTGAAAACTGGTCATGGCTGGTGGTACTTAAGAGGAAGCAGGTCACTACTCTTGTTAAAGATCCCTTTAAAGTCTGGTTGAACATTCACAGTCAAAAAAAACTCTGGGTTTTAAACTGCACTAGAAATGAAGTTTCATTAGGCGCGTTTTAGGTTTTCTCTGCTATCTTTCTAACCCAGTGACAGATATTCATCCCCTTAAATGAAAACAATTCTTCTAAGATTTTGCAAGAAACCACCATCAAATGCCTCAGTCACAGCAAAGTCTAGCAAAGAGGTACAGACTTGAAAAGTTACATCAGCTAAAACTCCATGGAAAACAAACAAAATCTCTAATTCCTGACTCTGTAGGAGCCAATTTAAAAAAAGAAAAAATTGAATGAAGAGTATAAAGAAGAATTACCTAACATAGTTGAGTCACACACCACAGACAAAAATCTCTTGGAGAATTTCCTCAAGCAAATACTAGTTTATTTAAAGCTGCATTCAATAAATTCCTTTTAATTTTATGAGGCTCTAACCCCCTCTCTTGTGAATCTGATCTAACTACAGTATGGTTTCTCTAACTATAGGCCTCTAACTGAACATGCTAACTCCTCCACATCTTGTTCTTTCAGACGATGTTAAGCCAAGATGAAACACTGAATGACAGCAGATTTTTAACACCTGCCTTTGAAGACTGGAGATGATGTTTCAGCATGACCAAGAACACTCAGTAATACCTCATGCCTGTCCTGGGTGGCCAGGAGGAGCCTGATGCAGTGGAGTCTCTCTTCTGCCAGTGAGACTTAGCACACAGCATCTCATATTGTCAGTGTAGCAGTGTTCCAGGTAACGCTCCTGGACACTGTTTCCATGTTACATCATGTGAAACAGGTGTTGAGAGGGAAGTGCTTCTCACATCCAGAGTCTCGAAAGCCAAGACTGGCAACATGTTTTACCCTTTTTTTTTCATTCAGTAATCTTTTACATAGTATGTTTATGCACTGTTATATGAGAGGTACTTTGTAATTTTTTATTTTTATAATTCACTTGTAATGCAGGCATCGTGAGTAATCTACTGGATCACATGGACTAATCAGAGCCGCCTAGAAATTCAGATGGATGCTGGTGAGAGCAGTGGTAATGGCTCACTAACTCCCACTCCTGTTTCCTACAGGGATGAGAGATCAGAACCCTTTTTTCACTAGCAGGTGTGCTGCCCTCTCCAAGTATGTGCAGTGTGAATGGGAAGAACAGAACGTAATAGTAGGCATCAAGCCCTTGCCTTTATTAGGAGGGTGGCAAGCTGCTTGTTCACAAATACTTACCTAACTCAAAAAGATGATGAATAACTACAGCAGGAAATGTAGCTTTGAGACTGTCAGAAAAACTGATGGACTGAAAAGCTGGTGCCTCCTTTGAAGTGATGTTTTTTATGTGTGATTTTTACCTAGACACTAAGATGTTTGTTACTGAGGAGAAATGAGACTGAACTGATGTAAATACAGCTCTAAGAATGGTGTTTGCTGTGCTCCATAGGGCAAGCGCAGCAGAATTTCCAGTATGACCCACTGTTTGGTTTTGAATGGCAGTTCTTTAACTGTAATGATGGAAGGTGATCCTTTTGTACATTGACATTTTGTCTAAAAAGGCTACTACTGACACCCGTGTGCAAGCATCACACTGCTCACAAGCCTGCTGAACAGTTAAGATCGGTCAGACAGAGTTTTCTGAGCCTCGTACCTGGTTGGTCTGAAACCGTAGTGGCGCTCAGGAAGATGGGGATGGTGATAAGCCTGTTTCCTTCCCATAGTTACACCTAACTGAACAGAGGGCTGCAAACAGCCTTGAGGACTGGAGATTACAGCAGAAACACTTCTGTAACGTTTGCATGAGAACTGATGATGTTGTAAACAACACTGCCATTCACTTTCAGTTCGCTTTTCATTCCAGTCATAGATAAGATTTTCATAGAATACCTTGTTTAGCAATAAGAGACAAACATTACTGCTCTGTAGTGTGTAAAATGTGACTAAGGAGCATCAAGCAAGTACTATAGCAAAACAAGTACCTGTTTCTTTAAAAGACCTGACAAAATAGATCAGTTTACATATAAATATATCCTGAGGGCAGGTCACTCCCAGCTGTAACCCTCCCACCTTAAGGGGAAACCTCCAGTACCATCCAGAGTATGCATCATTATTCTAGTCCTCACTCCATGAGCCTCTCATGACAGACCCTGCACTCTGGTCAGATTTTTAGAAGCTAAAAACATGATTTTATTGTCCCAAATGGTAGAACCATGCAATTTTTTTTTAGTCACTGAACAATTAAATGAAAATGGGAAATTCAAAGGAATGAGAAGTCAGTCTACACATCAGCAAACTAAAGATGCTTAATAGAAGGCATTACATGTACCAGTCAAGTACATCTCAAATCTGGCAATGCGATCAACACTAGTGACCAGATCGTGTACTATGGGCATTTGAAATACTTTGTCAGGTTAATTAGCAAGCTTACTAAAGCACTACAAATAAGATAAGCTGCTCCAGCAGAGGCAGCCCTAATATTACTGGGCTTTTCCAAGCAGATATTCAGATCTCTTTTGATGATGTATTTCTAACTTAGTGTGTTGTTGTGCCAACTCAGCTGTGAACAAGCTACAAAAATACTGAATGTTTTTTATATGTGTGTGTATATATATATATATATATACACACACACGTATGTAATAAGAAATCCTAATTAGCATAACACTGGTATTAATGCTTATTTTTTGACTGTTATGAATAAATTGAGTGTTCCTCCACCTCTTGGTGACTGTGGAATCATTCTAACACAAATACATGTGGTTGATCTCTCATCAAAGACAGAATCACCATCTGAATCCCTGTGTCTTTTTTTGAATTACTGCTACAACTGTAAGTGATCAAGTACAAAACCCCTGTGTCAATTTTAAACTAGTAGATTCATTTTGGTTTGTTTTAGATAAATAAAGATATTTAGTAAACATATTCATTAGCATCTAAAGAAACAAGTCTTCTGGCTCAGGGATTTGTCAGACTCTACAACAAATTTAGCATAAACTAATTCCTGGAAATTAACATGCAGTACTTCAGCCACTGAAGACTAAGAATTAAATGCTGTGTGGTAAAACATGAGATGGTGCATTAGCTGAGCCTAAGAGCAACTCTGCATAGCTGACAACAGCAAGTAAGAAGCTGTGTTTTCTCCTGAGCAAAGGAGATTTCTGAAACTGCCACAAGCCCAAGCAGTACACTTAAGAGAATGATGTTCAGATGGTTGTCCTGGTTTGGGTTGAGCTGGTTTTGCTCAGTGATTTTAACTTCTTAGCTAAAGCTCTTGTAATTAACTGTTTTGTCTGAAGTTAGAAACGTTGTCATAAACTGTGTGGCTCTAGCAGTGGTGAGACTTCATGTTCAGAGTTACTGCCAGGGATTGGTGTGCAGACCAAGGCCACTGCTGAGCTTGTACCCCATACAGAGGGGGCAGAGAGCACCCAGCACCTGCGGGGAGGAGTGGGAAGGATAAGTGACCCCAAGATTCACCAGTGGGGTGTTCCATCCCACAGTCCTCATGTCCAGTAAAGCTGAAGGATGGGAAAGGACAAGCCCTTCCACAGCCCCTTCATTTCCCTCTCCTGTCTTCTGCTGCTGGCTGCTCCTGCTGCAGTGGCCACATCCGAGGAGGACTTCATCCATGCTGCCTTTGATCCGAGCCCTGTGCTCCTGAACTGAGCTCCAGAATCCATCTCCTGTGCCCAGTTGCCATCTGTGGCTGAGCCCAGCCTGGGACCCTCTCCCTGAGGGTGAGGGTGACGTGTTGCCATCAGGGGGAGTTGGGTTTGGTACTTTTTTATTATCATTACTACTATTATTACTAGTGGTAGTATTAAAGCTGTTTTCTAATCAGTCTCTTT